GAGACCCCGGGAACCTGGATATGTAGCATGTAACATTAACATAATAATCTTTATATGAGACTGGCAGGAAGCAAAGACGGAACAATCCTGAGGAAAGCTAAGCAGAGCTATTAAAGTGATAAGATCATGGATGGCAGAGGAGTCTGCTTCATCACAAAATGATTTAAATGAAACCCACAAAATTGACAGAAATTAAAGACCGATAATACCCAGACCAGGAAAACATGTTGGAAAATGAGCAATTCCACATGTAATCAGCTAGCGGATTTTGTAGAGCTCTTAAAACCAAGGCAACTGGAGACAAGCTGCTTAGAGACAAATGCTGGCACAGAAACAGAGTAACGGGATTTCTTGCAGAGTTGTTGGGAAAGTAAACCTGTACAGTCATATAAAAAACAATATGGAAGTTCTAAAGCCTCACAAACAGAACACAGCATGAACCAAGAAACACACTACAGGGATATTAAAAAGGACACCTGCACTTCCACATCTACTCCCCTGCTACTCACAGTATTCAAGAAATGCAACTGGGGCTGGAGAGACGATGGCTCAGCAGTAAAGAGCACAGCTGCTCTCCCAGAGGACCCAGGATTCCCATCACCCACACAACACCCCACACCATTGGTTACAACAGTTCCAGGGGATCCGACACCCTCTTCTTGCCCCTGCAGACACTAGGCATTCATACATGCAGGCAAAACACCATATGCATAAAAATTATAGTAAAATATCCTTTTTTCTTTCTTTCTTTTTTTTATTTTTTTATTTTTTTTTATTTTTTATTTATTTATTTATTTATTTTTTTTTTGGTTTTTCGAGACAGGGTTTCTCTGTATTGTTTTGGAGCCTATCCTGGAACTCACTCTGCAGACCAGGCTGGTCTCAAACCCCCAGAGATCTGCCTGCCTCTACCTTCTGAGTGCTGGGATTAAAGGCAAATAAAATGTCTTAAAGAAATGCAAATAACCTATGGGTCCATCAACTAGTGAATGAAGAAATTGTGGTACAGGGGCTGCAAAGACTCAGTGGTTATTAGCACTTCCTGCTCTTCCCGGAAATTGGAGCTCCATGCCCGTGAGCACCTTCATCCAATGCCCTCAGACAGCCCCAGAGGAGCATGAACACACACACACACGCACGCACGCACGCACGCACGCACGCACGCACGCACCCCAGTAACACGCACACAAATAAAAGTACATTTGCTTGTTTCTTCGTTTTTGTTTTTTAGAGACATTGTCTCACTGTGCAGCCCTGGTGGACCTGGAACTCATTATGTAGACCATGCTCACAGAGATCATCCTGCCTCTGCATCCTGAGTGCTGGGATTAAAGGTGTGTGCCAGACACCTTGAAAAATTTTATTCCTTTTATATTAAGAACTTATAGCAAATTATCACAAACAAGAGTCAGTATTTAAAATACCCAAAATTGACACAACCTAATAGCAACAATAGAACTAGTTTTGGCTTAATGGATGTCCACAAAGAGAATGTTAGCAGCAAGACTGTGGGGAGATGGGAATACATGAAGGATTAGAGAGAGAAAAGGGAAAGGGGAAAATGATGTAATTTATATTTTAATTTTTAAAGAATTAAAAATCCGGAAGGAAAAAGAAGTGAATGTGTGGTAATTAAACTTCACAGTTGGTCATACGACTCATAAGTGATGCTGCTTTAAAATTGGCAACTTCTTGTTATCTAATGACTCCATAGATATGTGTACCCGTTAGCCTACTAGTACTACTGTAGAGAGTCTATCCCATATAACTGTAGATATTTATGAAAGGTATACAAAGGAGGATTTTTTATTCTTACCTCTGTTTGCAATATGAAATGGGAAATTTACCCATCAGCAAATCCCCACATACACACACCATCTGGCCATGTGAGAAGTAAGGAACATTCCCAAGATACCTCATAAAGGAAAACAGGCAAGATGAAAGCAGGAAGTTTCAATGAGCTGGCAGGGGCCTTATTTTCACAAAATAAGACAAAAGCGGTAGTACTCACACCTGTGATCCTTGCTACTTGGGAGGCTTAGACAGGCAGGTTAACAGATTAAGGCCAGCCTGGGCTACATAAAAGAGTTCAAAGCCGGGGGCTGGAGAGATGGCTCAGAGGTTAAGAGCACTGACTGCTCTTCCAGAGGTCTTGAGTTCAATTCCCAGCAACCACATAGTGGCTCACAACCATCTGTAATGAGATCTGGTGCCCTTTTCCGGCCTGCAGGCATACATACAAGCAGAACTCTGTATACATCATAAATAAAATCTTAAAAAAAAAAAAGTAAGCCAACCTATGCTATAGAACAAGACCTATCTAGAAAAAAAAATTACAAATCAAAACAGGGCTGGCAAGATGGTTCAGCAGGATAGGGACCTTGCTACCAAGCCTGACAACCTGAGTTGAGAGTGATCCTAAATCAAAAGAGGTGACAAGATTTAGAATGGTAATAAATGTTCAGACCTATCCCAACTTGCAGGGCATACTGAATAACACTTTATTCCCATCCCTATCCCACCAATATACAAGAAGTCCCTTGTCTTAGCACCCTTGCCTTAGGGTCCACAATTACTAAGGTCCCCATTCTCCCCCAACACTGGAGACTTAACTCAAGGTCCCATGATGTATAATAATCCGCACTTAGCACAAGCCGTTATGTTTTGCTAAGACCAAAGGGACAAAGACTTACTGCTGCACTCACGTGCAGAGTTGCATCTCCACTGTAGCGGCCTGAGGGCAGAGTGAAAGCCGCTGGAGGAGAAAGGCACAGGAGCAAAAGATTGCATCTGGGGCTGAACTGCAATGAGTAACTAAGTTCAATGGAATGAGCTTGGGGAGGCAAAGAAGACTAGAAGAAAAAACAAACTGCTTGACGCTAAAATACCCAAGTCAGTTATTATAAGGTACTACATACAAAATAATACCCTTTTGTGAGTATATATTGGGCTGGGGGTTGAACCTAGAGCCTTCTACACATTAGGCAAGTACTCTACCACTGAGCTACTCCAACGGCCACAAAGGATGCCTTCACTTCCTCACCACTTCATGAGTTACTGCCTGTCGCCAAGTTATCAAAACACTTACAACTGATTAAACTTTCCTAACAGTAGATCAGACAAGAGGCTAAAGTTCACGGTGACTCTAATATTACTGGTGCTGGTCTCCCTTGAGCCAGTTTATTTATTTTTTTAAAGCCCTCTCGAAACCTTAAGTAAATAAATCCAACAGCCAGTGAAAACTGACACACCCAGAAACTCTCAGCAAAACATTTACTTCATAGTCCACAACACACTGTCCTAGTCTATCTACAGGTGGCCTCGCCTAGAGCTAAAGATCGATAGAGAATGCTTCCTGTAAGGCAGCTTCACACTTCACAGTGAAGTGGCTTCCTACAAAGGGGGTTAGCACTCATCACTGGAAAGCAGATAACTCTTAACATGCCCTCCCCTTCAATAGCTAGAGATAGTTACATCTAAGCTCGTAGATTTCCTAAACATTCTGGCATTTAGAATGCAAGAGCTAAGGGGCACTTCTGTTTATCAGTAACCAACAGCTCTTTTGAAGCCCTCCTATACCCCATTGCCAGTGGCCACAACAACCCTACCCTACAGTCAGCTAGGGTCCAGAAATCCCAATTAATTTTCATGGCCAGAGCCAGATCTAGAGGTAAAGGCCTGGGATCCTGGCTACTTGGGAGGCCTGCTTAGATTACAGAGTGAGTTCAGGTCCAGCCTGGGCAAGTTAAGGAGATGTTATCTCAAAAAACAGGGAAGTAGAGGGGTGTGGGGGAGACAGCTTGATGGGTAAAGCCCTTGCCTTGAAAGTGGGTGAATGTAAGTTTAGATCCCCAGAACCCGGATAAAAGCCAGGTGCGGTGGCAAATCTGTAATTGAAGCTCTTCCAAGATAAGATGGAGACAGACAGGAGAATCCCAGGAAGCCCCAGGACAAGCTGGCCTGGCCAGTACAGTACAGAGAGACTCTGCCCCAAACAAGTGGAAGATGAAGGCCAACACCCAAGGCTGTCCTCTGATAGCCACACAGACGCATGACAAGTGCACATGCCTGCACTCACAAGCAGGAACACACATACAATTCACAACACACAAACTCACAAAGATTAAAACAAGGAGAAAGCACAAAAACCTAGGGATATAATGGCAAACGGCTTGCTAGTATGCAAGCACAAGGCCCTGGGTTCTGACGCCAGTACTGAAGAAAAACATTAAAGTAGAAAAAAAAGTTTCTATAGCTGCTTTCCATGTGCTAGGGTTAAAGAAGTTTGCCATCACACACACACAAGACAGGGTTTCTCTATGTAGCCCTGGCTGTCCTAGAACTCTCCTTGTAGACCAGGCTGGCCTCGAACTCACAGAGATCTGCCTGCCTCTGCCTCCCAAGTGTTGGAATTAAAAGCATGCACCACCACTGCCTGGCCAAAGTCTGCTAAGATTTACAGTATATTACCTTCCCTCCTAAAACAGAAACTCCTGTAATCTTTGTCTGCCATACTGAAGTATTTGATAGGTAAATGGATACAGAATGAGTCATTTCGGTTAACCATGCTGCTATCAACGTAAAAAGTTGAGAAGGCTACCAACGTGATCATTCCCAAAATGTCTCTGCCAATCTTGACCCCCAGATGCCCCCATCCCCAGGGCAACAGTGTTTTCTCCAAAACAGTAAAGCAAAGAAATAAAGGTGTGGAGAAGAGTTGCTTGCTTGCACTCTGCAAAGGCCATGCTTTCTCTGTGACTTTCTAGGAGGTATCCCTTCCAGAGCCTGGATCTACTTACTCCCTGAAAACAGAAGTAATTTCACCCTTTAAAAAAGTGATTTCCATTTACCCATCTTTCAAAAGTTCTGAGCAAAAAACAAACAACTTATACAAACACAATAATTCTTCCAATGAAGTTTAACCAAATACAAAAACAATTAGGATCAGACGATGGAAATTGAATAAAAGGTTCAAAGTGTTTCGTTTTGTTTACACTTACCCACTCTTCAACATTGGGGGGCTGTTCATCATAAATATGTTCCTTATCCCACAAAATATTGGACTTGTCATATCGGTCCATCTTTCTTCGGGTTTTCACAGCAAAAAAAATGATTAAAGCAAAGGCCACAATAATCATGAATCCCAGGACAATGGCTATAGCCTAAAAGGGGATGAAAGATATTGGTACAATTATTTTTAATTGCTTTAATTGAAATTCGCCTTCTAGGAGCTAAAACCCTTAACAAAGGGCCTGGGTACTTGTGATTTAATGGGTACAAAACTAAAGTAAATTGCTACAGATTAGTTCTATCATTAAAAACTAACCCACACCAACTGAACTAAAGCTAACAAAACCCAGGCAAAGTATGGCTGGCTGCACATAAACAGAAATGGACACATACCAAGTAACTCCGTGCTCAAACCCTGCTTAAAGGCAGAACTATCAGCACACATTTTATAGCCACAGGAAATGGGTTCTAGAACATGTGTGCCTCTGTAGCTGCCAGATTTTTATAATAGCCAGTTAAGCAATAAATCAATGTTGTTTGTTTTAAATTGTTTTTTTGAGACAATGTCTCAAATAGCCCAAGCTAGCCTCAAACCCTATGGAGCTGAAAATGATCTTAACCTCTTAGTCTTCCTACCCATATCTCCCCAGTGCTAAGGTTACAGACCTATGCCCAGCCTCAATATCTTACTGCTAAAGAATTTGAAAACTGCCGGGCATTTGTGGCGCACGCCTTTAATCCCAGCATTCGGGAGGCAGAGGCAGGCGGATCTCTGTGAGTTCGAGGCCAGCCTGGTCTCCAGAGTGACTGCCAGCATAGGCTTCATAGCTACACAGAGAAACCCTGTCTCAAAAAACAAAACAAGAATTTGAAAACTGCTAATTTCAGAAGTAGCTTTAGATAGCCATACCTATAACTCTGTTCATGACACATGCTTGGCAACTCTTTTTACACTGTATGTAAGGTGAGCCATAGGGATCTGTCTTAACATAAATGGTATAAATCTACAAACCTATAAATTAGAGCAAATGGACAAGTGATTCCTTTTAATCTAGCAAGTTCCTCTATTTTCAATGCCTTGTGACAGGGAAGCCTCCTCCTCCTGATGGCTCATCCAGTGTCTGGCAGATGTTTTAGTGGTACACTGGTCAGGGCACACTTGAATATGAGGCCAGTATCAGTTATCTACTCATGGGTAACAGTAGGCTCTCCTATCCACTGTCTATCTCACAGTGACACCCTTCTCCATAGAATATAGGTTTCAAGTAGCCAAAAGATTCCAAGGGATGGGAGTGTGGTGAGATAGGCATACCAATTCTACCAGTTCTCGGTGCTCACCACAGACAGGTCTGAACAGTAATAGCAAGCACTCGGAAACCCACACCATCAGGGAAAACACTCCATCTTCAAAATACAGACAGGCAGACCGTGGAGAAAGTCTAGCCCAATCGAGTGACTCATTCAGGGAAAAGAATGAAGCAGCCGCAGCAGCATTTGTGGTTTCATGTAAAGCTGACTCACAGTTTCCTTAGGGTTTTATGCCCCCAAAACACATGGAATCACCTGGACAAAAAAGTATCAACACTCTGGAAACAACCAAACTCCTGAAAGAAATGGAAAGATATCCTATGTTCATTGACTAGAAGATGTAAAATTGCCCTGGGCAAAGGTTACAAATGCCTTTAATCTGACTTGGGAGTCAGAGGCAGGTGGATGGATCTCTATGAGTTCAAGACCAGCCTGTTCTACAAAGTGAATTCTAGGGCTACAGAGAAACCCTGCCTTGAAATATCCACCACCACAACCCCCCACCAAAAAAAAAAAAAAAAAAAAAAAAAAAAAAAAAAAAAAGAAGACTTCCAATTGCAATGATGACAAAATTCCCTGAAACTGATCTACAGATTTGGAGCAACTCTTCAAAGTCCTAGCAGGTGGTTTGCAGAAACTAAAAGTTATCGCAGCATGCACAAGGGCTACCCTAAAGGATAATCCTAAAAATCAGATGGAAATGCAAGAAACACAGAATCTGGTCAAAATCATTTTGAGCAAAGTTAGAAAACCCATACCTCACAACTTCAAAACTTACTATAATATTAAAATAAAAAGACAGTGTGGTTTGGGTATAAGGACAGAAACAGATTAATGGAATCAAATGAGATTCCAAAAATAAATATTCACATTCATGACCTGTGTGCATGCACGTGCGCGCGCGCGCGCGCGTGTGTGTGTGTGTGTGTGTGTGTGTGTATGTGTGTGTGTGTGTGTGTTGCATGCAAGAGTAAGCAAGACTGTAATCCTTGTGTGTGCACAGGAGAATATTCGACAATACATGTGCATGCCTATCTATGAGAGGAGGTCAAAGGTCAATAGCAGATACCTTCTGATATCACTCTTCATTATTTGAGAAGTAGTCTCTCCATGAACCTGGAACTTGACATTTCACCTAGACTGGCTGGCAAGTGAACCCCCTGTCTCATCAGCACTGGGGCTACATGTGTACACCCACCACGCTTGGGGTTCTTGCATGGGTTCTGGGTATCCAAACTCAAGTCCTCATGATTGTGCCAGCATTCTACCCACTGAACCATCTCCAGTTCCAAATGTTTCTGACCCAGGACCTTGTGCATAATAAGCAAGATTTCCACACATGAGCTATAACCATCACCCATATAGTCAACTCACTTTGATGGACCAGGGAAGGTAGTTCATATGCCTGTAATTACAGAGCTCAAAAGGCTGAGGCTACAGTAGGATCACAATTTACAGGCCAATATGGGCTATACAGTAAGACCCTTGCTTCAAGGGGGGGATATAATTAAAAAGAAAAGCAATTTTTATGGAGAACATTACTTTCTTTGAAAAGATATCAAAAGCAAAAAACAACAAAAGAAAAATCAGACAAATGAGAGTCTATCAAAACTAAAAAGTTTTGTGTAAAGAATATCATCAAAAAAAATTAAAAGGGGAGATGGCAAAATTACAAATATTTACAAATCATTCATAAGAGACTTATATGCCTATTGTAAAGACTTAAGCCTGGCGGTGGTGGTGCACACCTTTAGTCCTAGCACTCGTGAGGCAGAGGCAGGCGGATCTCTGTGAGTTCGAGACCAGCATGGTCTACAAGAGCTACTTCCAGTACAGCCTCCAAAGCCACAGAGAAACCCTGTCTCCAAAAACAAAAACAAACAAAAAAAGACTTAAAACAGGCCAATTTTAAAAGCAAGATTCTGAATATCCAATGATGATAAATGCCCAATACATACATGAAGATATACTCGTTACCACTGGCTATCAAGGAAAAACAAATGAAAACACAAGCAAAGCACAGGAGCACACCTATAGTTAAGGGAACCAGAATGCTAAAACAGGATTGCTGTGAGTTCAAGGACAGCCTGGGATATATAACATAACCCTATTTAAAAAAACAAACAAACAACAACAACAAAAAAAAAAACAAACACACACCCAAAAAGCCACCTATAATGAAGTACCATGCACACCCATTAACATGACGACAGACTGACAATAACAAGCTCTGGTAAGGAAGTAGGATGGTTAGGACCCTCACACATTTTTGGAGAGACTGTAAAATGGCTCAACCTCTTTGGAAAACTGACAGTACCTAAAAAAGTTAGAGCCACACACGGCTCATCAATTCTACCTGCAGGCATACTCACAACTCAGGGAGCTATTAAAAGTTACACAAAAACTTGTACATCAAGGGTCATAATAACACAAGTAACAGACAATGAACTGATGGGTAAATAAATGTGACATATCCTCCTAAATCATTCATCAATAAAAAGAAATAAAGGACTTCCACAAAATAAAGACAGATAAGCCTGCCGGGTGTTGGTGGCGCACGCCTTTAATCCTCACACTCTGGAGGTAGAGGCAGGCAGATCTCTGTGAGTTCAAGGCCAGCCTGGTCTACAGAGCGAGTATCAGGACAGGCTCCAAAGCTACCCAGAGAAATCCTGTCTTGAAGAAAAAAAAAAAAAAAAAACACACAGATAAACCTTAAAAAAATAATCATGCTAAGTGAAAGATGCTAATTATAGAGACCATACAGTATGAAAATTTATGAAATACCAAAGAATAGGCAAAACTAGAAGGGAAGAGTAGTGGCTGCCCAGAGTGGGTTAAGAAGATGGTGAGCAACTGCTAATAGACACAGAAGATTCCTTGGGAGTCAGTAAAAATGGTCCATAACTGTGGGGGTGCTTACACAATTCTATGACCACATGACAAACCACTGAGGTTTGTTATGTTTGTTTGTTTGGGTTTTTTGTTTTGTTTTTTGATTTTTCAAGACAGGGTTTCTCTGTGTAGACCTAACTGTCCTGGAACTAGCTCTGTAGACCAGGCCGGCCTGGAACTCACAAATACCTGCCTGCCTCTGCCTCTGTCTCCCGAGTGCTGGGACTAAAGGCGTGCACCACCACTGCTGGCTACCACTGAGGTAGTCTTTAAATAGGTAGAATCTTAATCATTGCTTAACAATGACATCCAGTCCCTACCCCAACATGATGACATAATTAAAAGTAGGACCTTGACATATTTTTTTAAATGTTCCCATACTGATTATTCTAGCTGAGTACCTACAGACTCTAGTTGAGTCTTATGGAAAGAAGGACGGGTGTGGGGAAGAACAAAAACTATTCATACCTCCTGGGGATCCACCACACAGTAGTGATACAGATATTGATCCACGTAGAGTCCAGTAGCTCCAGGAGTATAGAACTGATTGCATATGGCATAGATCTGGGAACCGTACATAGATCCAGAAGCCTGGGCAGTTGGATTGACTCCCATTATATACACAATCGTGGCAATAAACACCAGGATGCCCAGGATAACACTGACTATGATCACAATCAAGTAATATCTTCTTGTTCTGGACATTCCAGATCTTATAACACTGGTAACAAATATTACCAAGGAGGCAATGAAGCAAAAGGCTGCCATGGCCAACAGGAAACCTTTTGCTGCTCTTGGATCTGTATACCCTCCATAGCCATAACCGTAGCCATAACCATAGCCATAGCCACTTCCAAAGCTACCAAAGCCACTTCCTCCATAAGGGTAGCCTAGGCTACCTCCAAAGATGCCGGTTCCATAGGCTCTGTCCCAAGCAAGTGTGGAAGCCACACAGGCAAATATGGCAATGCACATCACAATAATGAGCATAGACAGGATCCGAATCACTCCCGGGGGCGACGTCCATTTGTAGAAGTGAAGAATTTCATCTTCTGGGTAAAAGGAGTACGCCGGCTGAGACAGCATTGGTCGAACGTGCATTTCTCCACCATACACGTCATTGCTTGGTGCATAATGATTGGGTTTGCTGAAGGTCAAATAAAAAGACCTGAAGTTAAAAACTGCTTGGAATAAAATCAGCCACATAGATGAAACTATTTTAAATGTCCCGCTGAAGGGAAAGGGGACAGCTGATTCTGTAGGAGAACAAGTCCAGCTGATGCAGCACACGGGTCTTGGGAACATACTTGACAGTGACTACTCTAGGACAAAGAGCAAAGGTTCTCCAAAATTTGCTCCATGTAAGGATCATCTGGAAATGTATAAATTATCAGGCAATGGGGCTGGTGATGTGATTCAGTAGTAGAATATTGCACAGTAAGCTAAATGCTTCTGGGTTCCACTCCCAGCACTGGAGGAAAAAAAACTTCAGATTTTGCACATCTTATCAGTGAAATCATAGCATGTGTGGGCGGGAGCCACACTGCTTTAAAACAATGGTATCAAGCTTTGTTTTGTCTGTGTGGCACAAGGTAAGTGTATTTAAACACAACACCCATACCAGCCTATTCGGAGTCCTATGCAATTCCTAGCAGTCTCGCTCTTCTCCATCAGAAAGCTCACTGATTTATTTGTTCTCTGAAGGCTGACTGTTGGAATTATCAGGCAGGATTAATGCTGGGTACCGTGCTTGGCAGTGGAGAGGGGGAAGTTAGAAAAGAAAGGGAGGGGTGGGAGACAAGATGTAGTACACTGAAAGGTAGAGTCCTACATTCAATCCCCAGGACCATCAAGAAGAAATGTGTGTTACATATATTATATATAATGTGTATTATCATTTTATTACTCAAGGGGCAAATTGTGGAAATCACTCCATAATCTATAGTCAATTAATCAAGAGAGGCAAAGCAAACCAATTATACATTAAAGGCTCATCAAGGAATGTTCGACTGGATTCTGCATCTCCTTTATCAAAACTACTCTGCATATTCCAGTAATTTAGTCATAAATTGACAACTTGTATCAGAGCCACTGACATTTGACCAAATTGACCAAATTAAATCTAAGAACTTTGAGCCTTACACAATATCTTGGTGGGTGTTAATCTCTTTGGTGTTTGGTTTGTTTGTTTTTTGAGGTAGAGTCTCTCAAACTCACAGAGATATCTGCCTGAGTCTACTCTGCCTTTCAAGTGCTGGGATTGAAGGCATGAGCCAGGGCACCCAGCCCTAGAAAGTATCTTGAGGCAAATACTAGAAATGGATAATGTAGTTGTCTACACAGGGAAAAACTATCATTTTGAAGTTATGCATAAGATGGAAATTCACTTTTCATTGTAAATGTTTGGTAAAATTCACACCATTAAGTGCAAAAATTGTTTGGATTGCTTGTTTGAGACAGTTTCGCCACATAGCCCTAACTAGCCTTGTACTCCATACACAGACCCAGACTACCTCAAACTTGTGATAATCCTCCTAGTCTCCCAAGTACTAGGATTGCAAGTATGAACACCATCCTGGGCTTAGTTTTTTTGTTTGTTTGTTGTTCTGAGACAAAACCTAATGTCGCCTGACTTCAATCTCATTATGTAGATGAACTGTAGATTCTCCTGCCTCCACCTTCCAAATGCTGGAATTAAGGTGTGTGCCACCATGCCTGGTTTATGCAGTACTACAGATCAAACCCTTAGTCACCACTTTATGAATGCTAGGCAAATAAATACTCTACTAACTGAGCCATGTCCCCAGCCCAAAAGTAGTGGGTGGTGTTGGTGAGGGAAGGGGTTTAGTACTGGGGATGGGTTTGTTTAAAAACAAATACTTAATGGATGGAGGTTTCTTTTGTATGTAACAGGCCCCATTAGAAAAAAAAAAAAAAAGAATAATTAACCTACTTACAATTCGTCAGGTCGATAAGGAGGTGGACTTTCAAAAGGCCTCACAGACATGGCTGATGTCTCTGGTCACCTGATCTTTATGATGAGTAAGACTTCAAGACTCCCAAGATAAGCAAACCTAAGCAACAAAAGTAGGAGGATGGAATTACTACTGAGGCCAGAGAAGTTTGCATCACAAAGAAACACAGAGACTCCAACCACCAAGCACCCACTCACTCCACAGTTACTTACTTCTCCAGTCCACTGACACTTTCATGTGACAGACAGACCATCAATTCCTTGGGCAAAGAAAAATCACATTTCTCCTGGCACCAGTATTGCACTCTGAATGGCCCTGGCACACAAGTATCTTTAAACTTAAAATTCTGAGTTACGGTAATGACAACCTCACATCATTTTATAACATAGTAGGAAAATAAATTAAAGAGCAACTAATAAGAACAAAAGCATACAAAAAGAAACAAATTTGAGGTTAGCATGAGATCTTTTCTCAAAAAGATAAAGAAAAAAGGGAGAGAGAGAGTTAATTTTCTTTCACAAAATTAACTATTTAGGATCAGCAAGATGACACAGTAGGTAAGGGTGTCATCCACCAAGTCTGATGAACTTAGGTTCAATCCCTGGAATATACGTATTACAGAGAACCAAGTCCTGCAAGTTGTTCTCTCACCTTCACACCTATGCCATGGCACATACATATATACATACATACACACACACACACTCACACTCTCTCTCTAAAATGTTTAAATTTTAAAAAAATTAATCATTTTACTTTCTTGATTTTTTTTGTTTGTTTTTGTTTGTTTTGGTTTTTTTGAGACAAGGTTTCTCTGTGGAGCCCTGTCTGTCCTGGAACTTACTCTGTAGACCAGGATGGCCTCAAACTCACAAGATTCACCTGCCTCTGGCTCCCAAGTGCTGTGATTAAAGGCATAAGTCACAAGGCCCAGCTTAATGATTTACTTTTAACTTATGTACATTTTTATTTTGCCTGCATGTGTGTCTGTATGATAAGTGTTGGATCCTCTAGAAGAGTTACAGATGGTTGTGAGCTGACACATGGGTGCTTGGAATTGAACCCAAGTCCTCTAGAAGAGCCAGTGCTCCTAACCACTGTGCCATCTCTTTCCAGACCCTTAAAATTTTAAAATAAATAATAATAACAGTTTTAATGCAGGTACAGTGGTATATACCAGAAACCCCAGCTACTCAGGAAGCTGGGGCAAAAGGATCTCAAGTTGGAGACCAACCTAGGCAACACAGTAGGACCCTTTCTCAAAAACAAAACAAAGAACAACAAACTGAAGACTGTAACTCTGTAGTGGGGGATTTACCTACAATATCCAAGGTCCTAGATTCAATCTCTAACACGGAAAGAAAAGTAATTTCCTATTACCTATAAATGCTTGTGTAAAATGAGAATGCACATGAAAATGTAAATAAAACAGTGTCTAGCACCTGTTAGTGCTTCAGAGTTAACTAAAGCACAACCTAACTGAAAAGTGTGGCCTCATTAAAAGCGATTATAGCTGGGCAGGGGTGGTTGGTGCACACCTTTGTGTGCCTCGGGAGGCAGAGGCAAGCAGATCTCTGTTAGTTCAAGGCCAGCCTGAAGTTCCCAGACAGCCAGAGCTGTTACACAGAGAAACCGAAAAGATGAGAGAGAGAGAGTGAGAGAGAGAGATTACAAAATGTAGGCACAGATGGTGTGATCTCGAGCCCTTTCATTCTTTTATCTTCTTCTCTAAGTCTCCAAAATGTCATTTTTACAAAAGAAGAAAACAAGAAACACATCATAAACAGTCCCTCCATAAGAGAAAAGCAGAGTAGTTTTGTTCTCGAATTCCTTAATGCAAAAGTGTCTGCATATCTGAAAGGCGATTCCACTCAATGAACACGCATCTATCAAGGGCCTGTAGAAGTATGAGACACACACAAAATAGCAACTTCTTCAGGCTGAACTATGTGACCAATGTGGTAAGGGGTAAGCAGGGAGCCACGAAGAAGAGCTGGTGTCTTGGTAGGAAGGATGGGCATCCCAGCTGGTTAGGTGCTGACCTGTGTGGGTGTGGGTGTGGGGGGGTCACGTGTAGTTTATGGGCCAGAGAGGAAACCATGTATGGCCATGTTAACCTGTTAAAATAAGATTATGATGAGGGTACAAAGTGCTTGGAAAGTCTGGAGATAGTCTCCTATCTTACTCAGGTAAGAAACAGGAAACCAGTTATGATTCTCAGCAGTCCAAGTAGAAATGATTTAGGATCAAGAAGCTAACTGAAAGAGGGCACCATGGAGCAGCAGCAGCAAAGCCCTGCAAGTAATGAAGCGTGAGGGCTGAGGAGCCAGGAGAGAAAGAAAAACACACCAGTTAACTACCCGTGTGCCCCACTTTGCACAAAATTCCAATTTAGACTCAAAACCACCATTTATCCATTTTACAAACCCAGAAAGGATCAGAAAGGCATGGGAAGTAAAACGCTCAAAGCTGAAGCCAGTGAGTCACTGAGATATAGCCTCACACACATCTCCTGCCCTTTCCACCACCAGAGATTTTTAAGTCAGTCTCATTTGGAATATATTAGCTCTCCCAAAGTGAACAACTGGTGTCAATGTCCATAAAGTAGTGAATCTGTCATGATCCGTGTCACCCAAGAGATCTTCTGGAAATACACTAACCAAGTGCGACCTAAGAGCTGAAGTTTATTCTAGAAAATCCAGTGCTAGAAAAGCCAAGAAAGGACTGAGATGGCTCAGTGGGTAAAGAGTCTTGCCACAAAGGATAAGGACCTGAGTTCAATCCCCAGGACCTTCATGGTGAAGAGAGAAACAACACCTGCACACTGTCCTCTGACCTCCACACACATGCTGTGGTGTGCACGCGAGTGTGTGTGGAAGATAAAGGAAGAAGGAACAAATGAACTTCAATTTTACAGTTTTCAGCACTTCCTGTCCCTCTGGTAGGGTATATGGAAGCAACAGTAAGTTCTTTCCAGGCAGCACTAGTAACTGATTAGCAAGGAAAAGAATTTCAGATGTGAACAGGAGTTTTTGCATGTTGTTCACTGATTAAAACACCTGGCACACAGTAGATGTGCAAATATTTGCTCAACATTTACATGGATCAGATTGGACCATGGATACCTCTGCCTGCAAAACCTCATGTGCTTTCAGGGAGAAGGTGATTAAAAAAAAAAAAGTATCAGAACAACTTAACAGAGTATTACCTTCAAGTGACAATCAAGAGAGATCTATGACTTGAGTATATTGAGGTAAAGTTTGTTTTCATTTTCAAATGAAGTCTGTACAAGTGTCCATTACTCCATCAGGAACAGTAAATCAATTTAAACTTTTTAAATGTATTATGTAAGCCACACAGCAATTCTCTTGCATGTCACCCAATAGTTTATATTCCAAATCTCAAAATAAAACTCTGTATATTAGACAAAATCCCAAAGATGGAAATCCAGGATATATGAACACAGGCAGCAAGCACAGAAAAGACAACTTCACTTTTTTTTTTTTTTCTTTAAGAAGAATGGTTGGTGGGGGGGACTGCAAGAGGCAGCAGTTCTCCTGCCAATCATGTTTTTCTAAAACCACTCTGCCAGTGTACAAACACACTTAAATCCTAAGTGTGTCCAGCTCGGTCACTAGCCCACAGTCAACTTCTTTAGCTCATGTTGAAATACACAGATGAGCAATTTAAGCCAAAATGGGGCTTTGAAAGGCAAAAGTCAAGATCGACTTCCTAAATAATGTTTACAAAGAAACCATTAAGGGAAAACTTTAAACATTATTGAATGTAAGACCTTATATCTGAGACTGGACATCAATAGTGACAAATACTGACCTCAGAGGAATCTTAGACCTTCTATACCTATAGCTCAGTCACTGAACACTGCTCCCAAAGCAAGGCATGGTGGCTTGCCTATGAAATCTCAGCATTTGGGAGACTGGGGCAGAAGGATTTCCAAGAACTCAACGTTGCTGGGCTACAAGTTAAGTCCAACTTGGGTTTCAGCACAAGACTGACTCAAAAGACAATACAAGGTGCTAGAGAGATGGCTCGGCAATTTAGAGTGCTTACTGCTCTTGCAGAGGACATGGGTTTGGTTTCCAGCAACCACATCAGGCAGCAAGTGTCAGTAACTCTAGTTCAGGGGACCCAGCATTCTCTCTGGCTTCTTCAGGTACCTGCATACATGTGCTGTGCATAAACATATTCTGGAACACACACCTACACATTAATATAAATCTTTTACAAGCTACAAAGGCAAGCCAGGTGCACACCTTCAATCTCAGCACTCAGGAGGTAGAGGCAGGAGGATATCTATGAGCCAGCCATCTACAGAGCAAGTTCCACAGCAGCTAAGTTTACATATTAAGACCCTGTCTCAAAAAGAAGGGGGGATGACTCGGTATCAGTTACTAAAAACTAAATTATAGCCAGGCGGTGGTGGTACATGCCTTTAATCTCAGAACTTGGGAGGCAAAGGCAGGAGGATCTCAGTGAGTTCGAGGCCAGCCTGGTCTACAAAGCAAGTTCCATGACATCCAGGACTGTTATAGAGAGAAACCCTGTCTCAAAAAAAAAAAAAAAAAAAAAAAAAAAAAAACTAAATTAATTCCAATTCAAGCTTTAGTTGTCAGAAATTCAAACAAGATCCCTTTTCAAAGTGTTATTTCCTAGAAGTTGGAGTTTGGCTGTCATGTTTCCTCCAGGAGCAGGGACTTTTAAACTGTGAAATTTTAGAAAGCAGATTTTAACAGCTCTTGCTACACCTTGGTTTCTCTTCTGAAGAAAGTTACCAGGCAAGAGCACAGGGAAAGAATCCAGGGAATCTGAAGTACAAACTGGTAGGATTGGGCAGAGTCCCAAGGAGCTAAATAACAGCATCTAATTAGCACAAAGAATGGGGCATTTATGTTCACCTGGAGTGAGGTCTCTAGTGGTAACCGCAGACAAGGTTATCCAGAACTGCAGCTGACCAAACACTGGGAAGAATAACTAATGACCCAAGGGCTAGCAGTCCATCCAGAATGAGTGA